GGTAGAGTCCTTATACATATTTTCTGGAACTTCATCTAATTTAGCAATAGCATCATCAAAGGCTTGTTTAGCAAGTTGGCAAGCTTTATCAGCATCATTCATAATTTCAAAATAGAAAACAGAGAAATTAAGAGCAAGTCCAAGTCTAATTGGATGAGTTGGAGCAAGTTCAGCATTAGAAATTTCTGTAGCTTCAGTATATGCAGCAAGTGATTTATCAGCAACCTCTTTTCGTTTTTCATCAACAGTAAATTCTGCAAAATATCTGTAATAATCACCTTCCATTTTCTTAAAGAAGACTTTACTTTCTGAAGTAGATGCTTTTGGAAGAAGGTTTTCTTGAATTACTTTAAGGACATCATCACAACAAGTAGAAAGTTCCTTTTCAATTTTAGCTCTATATCCTTTAATAATTTCAACGTGTTTGTCATTTCCTTTAGCTTGTTCTTTTTGTTCAAGAGAAGAAATAATTCTCCATGAAGCTCTCTTAGCTCCAATAACATTCTTATAAGCAACTGACAACAAATTTCTTTCTTCAATAGATAATTCTGCTTCCATTTCTGCAACTTGTTTCATACATTGAACCATTTCATCATATCTTTCACTTTGTTCAGCAAGTTTAGCGGTATAGACACAATCTTCACGTGAAGCCATTTATTGAATGTTGATTTAAAGTTCTATTTTTCTAAGTTCAGGGTTTTCTTTCTTTTTTTTTAAATTTTTAATTTATTTTTTTTTTCTCTGACTAATTTCGTTTTTGTCTTATTATTTAATCTTTCCATAAAAACCAATTTAAAACTGGCATAAATCAATTATAACATCATTTCTGGTTCTCTAAAATAGTTTTCTAATAAATTAGTTGCCAATTCTTTTATTCTTTTATTTGGTTCATTAATAATAATATCTTCTAATACTGTTTCAAACTGAAATTCTTCAGCTACATCATTAATGTTAACTTTATTATCATCACAAAACCGACATACATTTCTTATTGATTTTAGTGTTATTATTAATAATTGAGATGGTAGACTTTGTTCGGTACAAATAGAGAATAAAGCTGCAATAACTGCTGGACAATTTGTAAGAAGTGTTTGTAACATTTGGTTTGTAGCACCAAAACAGAAATTAGACAATGTCCATTCCATTTCTTCACGAGCCATTTTTGAGACATCTCTTTGAATAACTAATATAGGAATATTATAAAGAAGTTTACTGTCAAGAATCAGTTGAAGGAGAGATAAATCTTTACATGCTGTAATATTTGATATTGCATAATATAATTCTTTTAAAATTGAAGGGTCAATTGAGTCATTTAAATAAATAAGTATTGGAAGTAATTGGGTAATTAATTGTTTAGCAATTTCATCGTCATAAGTTAATAAATTACCAAAAAACCTTATTGAAGGAACAGCTATTTTAATTTCAGATGAACGACAACAATATAACATTTTTTCAATAACTTGTTTTGTTAAAACATATTTAAATTGCTCTGGTATTAATGCAATATACTGAAGTGTCCAACATGCATCAGAAATTAATTCATCGTTATCGTTTGTACTATATTCAAAACAACTCATTGCAAATTGAATTACTACTTGAATGAAATTAGAATCAATTTGTTTGTTTTCTGACCTTCTAACTAATGAACAAAACAACCACATTATTTGACTTCTAGTCCGTAACGTTGGAAATCTTTGTAAAACAGAAGGGAAGTATTGAATAATTCCACTATTAATAATAATTTCTGATGGAACAACACCATCAGATGCAATATTTGCCATTAACCAAAGAAGATGCATAACAATACGTTCATCATTAGCATTAATTAAATATTCAAAATATAAAGAAATTCCTTGTTGACAAATTTCATTTGAATTTTCAGGGGAAAATGCAGAATAATTAATAAGAATTGATAATGAATAAAAGATAATATCATTATTATCACTTTTAAGATTTTTAATAATTGTTTTAATTGTTCCTGTTGATTTAATAATTTGATATGGTACAGGATCATTACTAAGTGTTTCTAATAATCGCATTAAACAATTTGTATTCCCATTAATAACTTCATAACATAAATTTTGCATCTCTTCAATTGGAATTAATCCATCTTTTCTTGGTTCAAAATCAATTTTCCTTCTTTTTTGGTTCATTATTTGACTTCTTTTTTGTGCTCTTAATTGACCGATTTCACTATGACGTTGTTGACATTGTTGTTGAAGCTGTAGGTCACTTGATCTAAATGACATTGAATGGTTCAATTGTTACAACAGGGTTTCTTCTTTTTTCTTATTCAAAAGATAAAAAAATAAAATGAGTAAAATATCGTTTTGTATAACAAAATAAAAGATTATAGCGTTATAGCAAGAAATATAACAATAATCAATACACAACATAAACAACATATTAATGACCAACGTACTTTATCTTCTGATCTTAATAAAAGAGTTTTAAGTTGTGATTGTGTCTTTTTTACATGATCATGAACTAAAGGAGTTTTTTCATCAATCTAATAAAATAATTAATAAAATATAATAATTATATAAAAAACAAACTTCATCTAATAAGTCTGAATGTACATTAAGTTCATCTGTAATTGCATTTACATTAGAATGTATTCTATTTGCTATATCACCAAGTGATTCTATCATTTCGTTTTGTTTAATAACTTCATTAGAATATAAATTGTAATTAGTTGTCATTTATTGATATGAAAAGATTTTTAAGATTTTTTAACTAATTTTTTTTCAAAAAAAAAATACAAAAAAAAATACAAAAAAAAATAGAAATTAAAGGAAGATATTTTTAGAAGTTTGTCAATAACTTTTTTTAACAAATTCTTTCATTATATTTTTTAGTCGAATAAAACTAACTAATCAATAACAGATGTCAGTGATTGAAATGATTAAATGTATTAATAAAAGTGATGAAGAAACAATTTTAATAAAAGCAACAAGAAATGAAGAAAATCCACCAAAAGAGAAACACATAGAAGAGATAATATATTATTATATTGAAGATGTAGATTCAAAAAGAATGACAGAATTAATTTGTGAATTAATAAAGAAAAATAACAACAAAGGATGGATAGAAGTTCAACATTTATTAATTATAATTTTAAATATAATAAAAGTTGATTATAAAAAAGAATTACTAAAAAAAATAAAAAAAGAACATTTACAATTTGGTATTATCCAATTAGGTCTAACTGAAAAAGATGATTTGACTAGAATATTTTGTAAATATATTGATTCTATTGTAAAATTATATGAAAGATTTGATATTATAATGGAAGAGAATACTCCATTAACTCCTCTTTGTAATGAAATAGATTGGAGAAATGCATTTAATGCATTTGGTTTGTTTTTTTTAGTTAATTAATAAATAATAAATTTAATTATAAATTTAATTATTTTAGATATTATTATTGGATTATTTAATGATTTAAAACAAATTCATTGGAAAAACGTTGACTTGTATCTTTCTAAATTAACAATTTATGTTATTGAATTATTAATAAAAGAAATGGCTATAATACTTATCAAACTGAGTTATTATATAGTTTGTTTTTTTATTTTGTTATTTCTTCAATATTAATTATGTTATAGAAAACGTTTTTAATAGACTGTAAATCAATAAAAAGTGATGATATTATGAAACTTATTTCAAAATTAAATGACTTTGATTCAATTCAACATTTTTATTTCCAAAAATTACCTAAATTAATTCCTTCATCTCAATTACCAACATTTCCTATTCTTTCTTATCATTCTGGAATTTTTTCTTCTTTAATTAGTTCATTAGAATTAACAAAGAAATATGACCAACAAATACAATCAAAATTGTTATTAGATGTTCTTAATGAATTTAGTTTACAATGTTCTTTAAATGAAACTCCTTTAAAGGAATTTATTCATGAACATGATACTTATTCTCATTCAAATTCTCACTCATTGTCTCATTCAAGTTCTCATTCAGCAGCTAGTTCATGTCAAAGATCAAGAAGTCATTCTAAACCATCATCAACTTCTAATTCAAGAAAGAATTCATTAAGTCTTCAAAAACAAGTCAATGATGGTTATGGAGCAATAGGAGTATCATTAAGACTATCAGAAATGTCACCAAAGAAAAAAGAAGGATATCTTATCAAAACATCAACACCAAATAGTGGAACATTAAATGACCTTTATAAAAAGAGGTCTCATTCTAAATCAGGTAAAATTGATATTGACCAAAGTCATCTTAGAAAGAAAAGTGTTACAATACCATCAGATGGAGTTCCAATAAAGAAATCTTTTTCATTTTCAAATTAATTCAATTTTTTTTTTAATAAAAAAAAAATATTTCTCAAAAAATCATAAAAGAAATTAGTTAAATAAGTTATTGAGAACTTAGAATTTTATTAAATGGATAGATTCTTACAAAAACAACAACCAGTAAATGACCCATTACAAACACCTAATATTCTTCAATCAAAAAATAAAATAATTCAAAAACTTAGATTTTTTGTTAGACTTATTCCATTATTTATTCCAATATTATTAATTGGAATGTATTTACTTTTCTATAACTTTATCTTTAGATATGTAAAAGAATTATTTTCAATGTCATTTGTTATTTTTATATTTATATGGTCACATTATAAATTATATTGTTTATTATATCATTGGTATAAATCATATACAACAAAACCATTTATCATTCCAATGAATTATTATCATTCTTTAGTAAATAATTCAAATGAAATTGAATTTTGTGATATTTGTAAACAACAAAAATATCCAAGGACTCATCATTGTTCAGTTTGTAATCAATGTGTAGTAAGATATGATCATCATTGTGCTTGGTTAAGTTGTATTGGATTACATAACATTAGACATTTTTATTTATTTCTTTATCATGGAACTACAACAACATTATTAGGATTATATATGTTAGTTATTATTCTTTATAATAAAAAAGGAAATCAAGAATTTTATTTTAAATGTGTTTTATTAATAACACTTGTTTTAGCAAATTTATTTATTACTTGTTTATTACAATTTATTGTACAAACTGTTATGATTTCAGTTAATGAAACAATGGTTGATATGATTTCTACTATTAATTCATTAATTAAAAATAAAACTTTAGTTTTACCTTATTATATTTCTTTAATTCAAAATTGGAGAGATGCTTTTCTTGTTAGAAAAGATCTTTCTCTTTTATGGTATTTTCTTCCATACACTCCTTCTATTAAATATAATATGACTATTGATGATCTTGATTCTATTGAAATTGATGCTTAATTCATTTCTATTTATTATTTAATTTTAAATAAAGTAAAATCATTCAATTAAATGATTGTTGTTGGTCATAAAGCCTTACAAGAAGCATTAATGACCCCCTAGTTCCATAAGAATTATAGAATCCTTTTTGTTCACAAATCACATACCATCCATCTTCAATTTTAAAATTATATGGTCCAACAGTAGTACCATCATAAATTTCTATCGGAATGTCAGTTGATTGACCTTCATACTCTTTTGAGAAATAGAGCGTTTGAATTAAATCAAAATCCTTCCTGCAATAGGTTGTATTAGGAAGAGAATGCACTTGAACATTTATTGGTCCATTTTGAGTGTTTAATTGAATAATTTCACCTTCTTGAGTATTAAGACTTACACTTAATGGAACTTTTCTGCCATTATAATTAAATGTATATGAAATCCCTGAAAGATAATTTTCAATAGGGACAAAGGCTTTGGCTACTTCTTTATTTATTTTTTGTTGTTGTGCTTCACCAACAACAGTATTTTTAATGTCTCTTTCTTGTCTTTTTTGTTTGGAGGTTGGTTCTTCTTTCTCCTTAGCGTTTACAATATCTATTTGTAGGTTCAGTGATTGATCAAGAATAAATGAACCTTTTTCTTGAAAAAGGAATTTTTTTTCATCGTTCAAATTAATTTGGAATTCTTCATATTCTAATTTCTCATCATTTCTATTAATTATGAGTCGTGGTAATTTAATTTTAAATTTACCATTTCTTTTCTCTGATTGAGAAACTGGAACTGTAAATATTTCTTTCTTTGGCTTTAATTCAATCCTATATTCAATTCCTCGTCCTTTAACTTCTGGCTGAATAACCTTTTCTGCTTTACCACATAACTTAACAAAAAGTAAAGTTTTTATATCATCTAACTCCTTTTTAAGAGACAAATTTTCATTCTTTAAATTTATCTCTTCTTCAGTTAATTTTTTTATTTCTTGGTTGAAGTTTTCTGTTTGGCTATTCAAATTCTGTTGGTAAGTTAATTCTTGTCTCTTTTTTTCATCATTCATATTATCACGTATTCGGTTAAGCTGTTCTTCAACTTGACGTTGTAGGTTGCGTATCTTATCATCATAACTTTTATTTAAATTTTTTAAACAACTCTCAGTTTCTTGCACTTGTGTATTTAACATGTTTACTTTATCATGTAATTTAATATTTTTCTCTGATAGTACGCCATTGTCATTAATTTTTGATTCCAAATCTCTTGAAAGACTCTCTTTTTCAGATTCTAATTTTTTATAGTTTGATTCTAATTTTTTATAGTTTGATTCCAATTCTTTATAGTTTGATTCTAATTCTTTATAGTTTGATTCCAATTCTTCATATTCTTTTTCATAAAAGGGTTGAATCTTGGTAAGACAAACTGTAATACTTGAAGGGTTATAAACTGTATCGTAACTACTAAGAGATTCCTTAATCGATGGTGTATAACAATTAATGTCTTTAACCGTCATATACAAAGCATAGAGATATTGATCCCATGTTGAAGTATTATATCCTCTACCTTTAATTAGACTTTCAATGTATTGACTGTCAGTGACATAATTTTCAGTTGCATAAATAGTGGGTTTTATAATTTTATAGAAAAGATACAAAAGTTTTTTTCTTAACTCATCAATTTCTTGTTTGAATTTATCACTATCATATTTTGATTTGAACATATATTCATAATATAAGTTCAAAAATTCTGAAATTACCAATGGGTTGAAGATATTACTAATGAGTATATACACTTCATAATAATTATTTCCATCTAAATTTGGAATAGAATTACCACATTGAAATAAATAATTAATAACTTGATTAATGTAATTGATTTGACTATTAACATTACTGGTTTGACTATTAATGTCATTAATTTGACTATTAATGTCATTGATTTGACTATTAATGTCATTAGTTTGATAAGTACCAGTATAGCAACCTCTTTTATAACCATCAGTACAGTAAACTTTTTTATAAGATTCACCATGTGGTGTGAAATGTTTTAAATTCTCTAACAAGGAGTTTACTGTCTCTTTATATTTACTTAAAATAGAACATACAATTGGATAAATATTTTGGTGTTCATTGTAGGGAGTGTATTTAAATTGATTGGGAGTATTATTTGACATTGTAGAAATAAATTTTCAAGTTCAATTTTTTTGAGTTTCAAGAATTACTTAAATGATGTTTATTTTTTAATTACTTTAATTTCCCAAGATTTTTAAAGTTTAAAAGCGTAAAAAAACAAAAGTCATTTTAACAAAGTTTTGATGATGTTACAAACAAATGATTTATTCAATAGGAAAACTATCATATTCTAATAATTGTCTTTTAATCACATTCCATAAATCTCCGAACACTAAAACACTTCCTTCGGATAGTTCAAATTTAATAATAGTTTTGTCTTCGAAGCTAACGTCAATGTCAGAAGTGTCTCCAACGCTGATAAGAATAGTAAATATAATTTGACTGAAAGTAGCTTTATTTTTATTCAAAGAGTCATCAATGTCATAGTGATATAAACATTTTTCAATGTTATCAACAGTAATTTGATGTTCAAATACAATACCAAGCTCTTTTAATATTTCATTAATTTTGGTTATTGTTTTTGAAGGTGTCATATCAATAGTTGCTTGGTGAATAAAAGGACCTTCTGTTGGAGAAAAGAAAACATTAATTTCATGAGGAATATTAACAGAAGAAGGAGGAGAAACTGTTTCTTTATATTTAATATTAACAGGAGAACAACTTCTTTTCTTCTTAAGTAATTCACAAAATGCAGGAGAAACACTTTTTTTATAAGAAGAAGGATCTGAAAGTAATGGAGAAACAGCGAATAATGTAGTATTTGTATTAATGGTTTTTATTTTTAAATTTGAAGAAGTTAATGTTTTTAATGAATTTTGTGTATGTTCAGTAATAGAACGATAAAATGCACGTACAGTATTTGGATTAGGAGCAAATAATGCTTCTCTTATTTTAGAAATATGTAATGGCGTTAACAACGAAGATAACATTTGCATAACTTTAGTATCAACAATAGTTATTGGACCACCAGCAATTGTTTCAACATCTTCAATTTTATTTGGTTCATTTCCAATAATTCCCTCATTTTCCAATGAGTTTGGGATATTTCTTACAACAGTATCATTAATTGATATACTTAAATCTTGTAAACTATCGAATATAGAATAATTTATTTTCTTCGATGGTATTGGACGAGCTGGTGTTGTTATTTGAGAAAAAGGTTCAATAAGTGCTTTAACTCTATCCAAAGTCAAACGTTGTTTAACATCACCACATAACATTCCAGTTAAAGCTTCGTGAATTGGAGGTGGAAGTTCAAAAGGAATTTGATATGTTAACTTTGTTACATTTTCAACAAATTCTTCATCAGTTTCTCCTGGAAATGGCATAAGTCCAAAAATCATAACATAAAAAACAACTCCCAATGACCAAATATCTGCAATACATCCATCATATGTTGGTTGAGTAAAAAGTTCTGGTGCAGCATAAAAAGGACTACCACAAGAATCTCTTAGAGGCATTCCCCCAGTATATGTTGCCATTCCAAAATCACATAATTTAGCTGTTGAACAGTCATGACTTAATAAAATATTTTCCAGCTTAACGTCTCTATGACATATTTGCCATTTATGAATATATTTTAAAGCAGACAATATTTGTAAAAGAAACTTAACTGATTCTTCTAATGATAACTTCTTCTTTTTCTCAACATATGTAAACAATTCTCCACCACTTAATAATTCTTGAACAACAAAAAGTAATTTTGTTGTTTCATAAGATGCATAATAATCAATAATATTTGGATGATGAATAATTCGAAGAATTGCTAACTCTCTCTCAACCTTTCTTTTCTTTTCAGGACGACTGCAAATACTTGCTTTATCAATAATTTTAATTGCAACTTTAACATTAGACTCTTCATGAAATGACAAAAAGACTTTTCCTGTTGCACCTTCTCCTAACAACTTATTCCCAATTAAAAATGGTCCTACTTTGTGTATTTGTGTCATTGTTTCAATCTTCTTTGATAATAAATTTTTTTCAAACTGAAAAGTTCTTCTCATTCAAAGTTCTTCACGTCGAAGATAAAAAAGAAAAAAACAGATTTTTGTGATTTTTGGTTAAAACAACACCCTTTAAAATAATAAAAACACAAAAACTAAAAAAGATTAAATCAAAAAAAATAGAAATAATAAAAATGAATAATAAAGAACTATTAAAAAGAGTATAAATATACGTGTTGTTGGATGTCAACATTAAATCTTGTAGCACCTCCTTATATTCCAAAGAAAAGACAACCGAAAACAAGTGGTGGGACAAATGGTAGTACAAATAAGAGTATTGGTGAAACTCGTGCTCGAACAAATGTATCAACTAATTTAAGTCAACAAAGTTCAACAGGGGCATCACAACGTTCATCTTCTACCTCAACTAATCCAAGTCATCCACAACAAAATGCACAAACTTTGTATAAACAACTCTTATATTGGGAACCCAAAGATGCAAATGGAAGTGTTTTAGATGAAGCATATTGTATTGAATGTATTCCATCTGATTTTTGGCAACGTTTAGGTGATTTAAATGATACAATTAAATCCTTTGAGAAATATTTCAACACTTCTTTAATGAATTAATTTACATTTCTTTGTGTTTCGTTCATCTTTTATTATAACTAAACCAATCATTTAGAAATAAGTCAATTGGATGAACTAGTTGAGCCAGAACTTGAAGATGAGCTTGATGATTGTTGTAATTGTTCGTTTAATATGATTTCTTTTAATTCTTCTTGATTAGTATTTTCTGATTTCTTTTTACTTTCATTTGAAGTTTTTTGTTCAGAAGATGAACTTGGTTTATCATCTCTTGGTGTTGAAGTAGAATTAGTTGATGGTTCTTGAGCACTGGATGGTACAGAAGTAGAGCTAGATGCATCACTGCCTTGTATTTTTTTATCTACTTCAACATTGAAAGCATATCTAATATCTTCACCCCAAGACTCAATAGTTTTTAAGATATCAACAAATTTAGGTCTATCTTCTGGATTTTGAGACCAACATTTAGTTGTTAATTCCCAATAATTATCAGGTATACCATTAGGTTTTGATAGTCTATTACCTTCAATAACAAATTGTGGAAT